GCCGTGAAATGTTTGAAGCGATTGGACGACGGAATGCAGAACAAATCAGCACATAGGTATATGAAAAAAAGAAAAAGCATTGAACAGGTAAACAAACGAAGAAGCAGAGGGGGAGAAATGAAGCAGCGCGAAAAAGGACTCACAGGATGCACTCGATCGCGAACTCAACAAAACAAAAAACCGAACACGCCAAACCTAAACAAATGTAACAAATAAGTTAAGCAGGGAAAACAAACTTTGCATGCAACTGCAACTGTCTCTACAACCCAGAAAAGATATATACCTCGTGGTCTGAATCCTCGCAGCCAGCGAAAAGGGCGTCGGCGACATCTTCTCCCGTTCCGCCTTGCTGATGCTGTCCAGTTGCCGATGCGGCAGCAGCGCCCGCAGCAGCAGCTGCGTCTGCGCCAAGCTGATGCTGCTGTGATTGGTGCGGCGTGGACGGCGGCATATCATCATCCGTGTCAGTAACCACGGGCTCATCCGCCCGCAAGGCAGCCTGCTGTCGCTTCAAAATGCTGCATAGTTTTGCTTCGTATTCCTCTGTAGGCAATCGAACCCCGGCGCCCCTCCCTTTGCTGCTGCCGTCCTCAGCCCCGAACCCATCGCGATACTGCCGCACCAACGCAACTTGATCCCACCTAGACAGCCCCAAAGCACGCAAGCATGCATGCACGGATGCATATATGCAGGAATGCATGCATGCGTCCTATTGCCTAGGTAGAGTGCAGGTGTGCATGCATGCAGATATGCATGTATGCATGTATGCATGCAAGTCTCAATGCATCCATACGCGTGTGAATGCATGCATGCATGAGTTGTGCTGCTTGTCCAGGCGGCCTGCCTGCCTGCATGCAGGCAAGCTACACGTGCGGGGGAAAACAAGAAGAGGCAGCGAGCCAAGTACTACTGCTGCTTCTATGGTTACAATTGTAGGAGCAGCAATTTCAGCCGCAGCTGCTGCAGCAGCAGCACCTTCAGCAGCAAGCGCAACAGCAGCAGCCACAGCTACACTCGCATCAACATCCACAAATACAGCAGCAGCAGCAACAGCACCAGCACTGACAGCAGGCGAGGATCTTTACCTGGGTAATGTCCGGATGACTGCGTCGCTGAGTCCGTACTGAAGTAGTCTGGCCCTGAGCTCCATCATTCCGAGTTTTCGGAGATCATCAACTGTGCCAGCTATGCCTCCCGCTGCATGCCGCCTAAGCGGCTGCTGCACGACAAGGGGATTGCTGGCGCTGCTGCGGCTTCTGCTGCCGCGTTTCAGCAGCGCTATGCCTTCCCCTCGGCCACAAGAAGGATCTGCGAATCCGGTTAAGAGGAACTGAGCTGAGCCTTTGTTCTGCAGCACTTCCCTGCATTCTTTGGTTGTTTGCCACGGGACAAGAAGCAGAAGCTCCTCAATAAAGCGAATGAGTGGAGAATGACGGCGACCCGCGCGGCTGCTGCTCAGTAGCAGCAGCAGCTGCTGCAGCTGCTGCTGCTCTGCTGCAGCAGCCGCGGCAGCACCATCGCTAGGGAGTCCCAGGGCCTCGCGCCGCTGCTGCTGCTGCTGCTGCAGCTGACGCAACCGCTTGCGTGCAGTTGCAGCAGCTTGCTGCTGCTGCCGCTCCTCCGCCTCCACAAAGGCGCACGCATTGCTGAGCCCTTCGGGGCTTGTCAGTGTGCTGATGCCCACAGCACGCAGCCGCAGCCAGGCGGCCTGCGACGTCTCGAGGCCGCAAACAGTCTCTGGGGAAATTATAGAAATAAGAGACGATTCGGGCAGCAGAGGCAGACGGTGAGGCGCAATTGGAGACAGCTGCTTCAGCAG